AAGATTAATAAAGGAAAGATTGTGTTTTTTGTAATTTTGGTGTGTCCATGACCGTACGTAGTCATTCGATGAAGTAGACATGGTGTTAATTTTTTTTTATAAGATATTTCAATTGCTAGATTAACCTAGAAGTCCACTTTGTATCCTCGAACATGAGGTGCAGGGCTACCGCCAGAACAGAGCCAAATAACACGTAATTTCACGACCAAAGTTTCACGACCATCGCGGGGTTTTTCACGACCAATCCAACCTTATGGATTATAGTGTGTTTGGTCGTGACAATAACTTTAATATAATTGTAATTTGAACAGTTTAGTTCAATTGAAACACTTATTTTATTATAACTAACAGTATAATTGAAGGATTGTTTAGAAAGATTTAGATTATTTCAGAAAATTCACGACCGTACCGCTTGTCCCTGACCATCACGTTTATGATTTCTATCATAAAAATTTCAAAAATTAAAATATCGTCATATTTCAATGATTTATTCACAAAAGAAGCACACCTCTATACAAACATAACGATTTTTCGGGTCTCAGGTAAGTTTTTTCGGAGTTATACAAACTTAAAAAGATTTTATTGGCTTTTTCCAATTTTTTGAGTATTTTTATTTTTTTCTAGAAAGACCAAATATACCAAAAGCTCAGTGACCTTTTTATTGTATAATGGTCATAAAAGTAAATTAGTTTATAGCAAAACATAGTTATAAAAATAATATTAACTATTTTTAATATTCATTTAAACGTCTGTTATGGTCGTGACAGGATTTTGTGTTTTTCCACTAAAGATGCTCTTTTTAAAAAAAAATACCAAAGATATTGCGTTACCATGGACATTTTATGAAACTTCAAATGTTAATGAAATAAAAATAATAATAAAAGTTTTGAAAAAAGGGGAAAAAAATTTATAAAGTGCTTTTCCTGAAAACGTACGTTTTTAAATTTTCACTCGCCTACATGTGCAGGTGCCTGTGCATAGGCCTGGTTGTTATCAGTCTACGTAATTTTAAGGGCAAAAAAACTGAATATGGGAAAGATTTTTTTCCTTAATTATTTGAAAGAAAACTTAAATGCGGATGTGAGAATGTCGGTGACGACAACCAAACAAAGCCAGTTCAATCAAAAGAAGACATTTAGAGGGTGAGGGGGTCGAAGGGTCAAGGATTTTTAGTCAGAATCAAGTATGGTTTGGTCTAATCAAAGTCTCGGCCTCTTCTTTGGTAATGGAGTGCAGTAAAACAAGAATATGACTTTTGAATTTCTGTAATGAGAGTAAACTGAAAACGTGTTGAATATCATATTTTTGAATTAAATTTCGATATAGGATCTGAGCAACATAAAAACAGTTGGTAGTTAGAACTGATTTATGTAGCTGAGGAACAGATATTCTAACATTGTGCGAGTATTTTGTGAAGTGCTGATATGTGACTGCTGTAAGAATCAAGTTGAGTTTTTGAGTGTGTGATTAAGAAGACACTGGATGAAAAGATGTCTGACCGGTAATATTCCCGTCTCACCACAGAATAGAGTGTCAGTGTACCTTCTATTTTTTCTAAAAGCAACTTTTTCAAAATTGATCTTTGGATTACATTCAAGGGTTCCAAGGTGGTGTGATAGCATGCTCCCCAGCAAATAATTCCAAATGATATCAAGGATTGCACATAAGGGAAATAAGCTCGCTTTACCTCATCCTCGTCTAAAATTTCACTCAATTGGTTAAAAGCATAGATATATTTACGAATCTTTTTCTTCAAGAAATCTACATGCTCTGTCCACTTCATTCGGTAGTCAAAATAAACACCCAAATATTTATAATAATCTACCCTTTCAATGTATTCACAATTACAAGATAAAATGTTATGGTTGCCACAGCAATGAATCTTCAAATTGTGTAGACTGTAATCAGTGCTGATTCTGTGTGATATGGGAAGAAATTTAGTCTTGGTTACATTAAGTTAGAGCACGTTTTGATCTAACCATTTCTTTAGAAGTAAGAGGTCATCAAGAGCTTTGGACCTGACATCCTCCCACAAACAACCCTTTATCAAAACTAATGTGTCGTCAGCAAATAAGAACAGTTCACCATTTAGGTTGAGTTTAGAAATGTTGTTTGTATAAATTAGAAAAAGTATAGGCCCCAGAGTACTTCCCTGAATAACCCCATACTCAATTGAATTTGCATCACTTCACACCACAGATGGAAACCACTTGATGTCCGTCAGATAAATAGTTTTTGAACCATGTGAGAGCAGTGCCTCTGACACCGATCTGTTCCAATTAATTTTGTTAGCAATAAATTTCTGTCAATTGAGTCGAATGTTTTTTTTTTACCTAAAAAATCAATGATGCTTATGATGTTTCCCATGGCAGAAAAACTGTTTCTGGTCAATTATTTATACACATTATTTTAACGTTACAATTATTTTACCGTTTAGATTGTAATTAAAAGAGGTTTATCAGTCAAACTATTTCTGTAATAAATCTTTGTTACGTGCATCATTTCAAGGGGTTCGTTAAATTTGTTAAACTCTAAGCGTTTTTTACCAATTTTTACATATTTTTTTAATATGGTGTTGTGGGTGATGAAATGAAATGAAATATTACTTTATTATCACAAAAACATTTTACAGATCCAGTGTTAGCTGGTGAAACAGGTGATATTGTCAGAGATCTTTAACACTACATAATAAAACTAAAATCCACATAGCTTAAACTAAATATATATTTACTTATCATTTAAATAATCGGAAATCTTATAATAATTTTTCTGTAAAAGGTATCGTTTGAAATCATTTTTAAATTTTGAAATACTGTTAATTTCTTTGAAATTAGTGGGTAGACTGTTGTAAAGCCTTAATCCCATATAATGAGATCTTTCATATAAACATAGGCGATGTCTTGGATATTGAAATGTTTTTGAGCGTGTAGGATACGGATGACTGATTTGTTTATCATTGTACATTTGATAATTAATTTTAAAATTCACCATAATTTTAAATATATAAAGTGAAGGCAAAGTTAATATCTCGTATTTAGCAAATAAAGCTCTGCATGAGGTTCTTTTAGGCATAAATGATAAAATCCTTATAAATTTCTTCTAAATTTTGAAAACTGCTTTAGATAAAATTGTTAAGAATTTAATGAGACCATATCTTACTATACTAAAACATCAGTTTTTAAAAATAATAAAAATAAAGGAGATAATGAGATAATCCCGGCATGATGTCATATTTAACTTGCCCCCTACCAGGTCTAAGTTGGAGCCGCCCAAACTTCATTGTTCCTCAGTCCGAGCTTCTCTCATTTTGGGCTCGGACTTGACTCGTTAATCCACCAAGTTTATCTTTGAAAGCCGGGACTATCTGTAATTTCACTTGTGAAACCAACTATTATAACCAGGTTTTATCCCTGCACTAATTGTGTGGAGTCTATCAGTTTCGGCCGCTGCTTATAAAGTCTCAAGCTCAAGAACCCGATTGTTTAAGCCAAGGTGCAAATACCGGTTATGTCTGGATTCTGGGCTCGGACTACTATAAACCCGAGCTCGTGAACCGCCTCTAAATCTTCTATTCAGTGGCGTAACAGTATTTCCCCGGGCCCCCCCGCAAATATGTCTGTGGGCCCCCTACTACCCCTCCCATTCCCCACCACAGCACTATATACCACAACCATCACCACACCACAACTATCACATGACGTAGGTGACGGCAGGCATACGGCCTACACGATCAGACTGGCAGAGGATGGTCTCTAGCAATATCAAGTATTTACCTATTCTTCAACCACACGACCAGAGTCGTCCTTGAAACATATTTTATATTTTGTCACTGTCACAGTGATAATAAACTTGGGAGTTATGTCCGTGATTAATATATATGGGCTACTACATTAATCCACCATTCACATTCATTACTAAACTCAACCAAGCTTCCAACTATAATTTGAGTCGGGACCACGAAGGTTTGCAGTTGAGGGAGTAGCATATTTACCATTTGACTTCAAATGAGCCAATGAGGACAGTGCGGTGTTGCCAAATCGAATAATACCAGCTGTTTAAAAAATGTTGTTTAGTATTTTAATTAGTGTCGTCAAAGGGCGATATGGCAACGTCGCACTAGTCTTGTGATTGGCTGCCGCCAACTGCAAACTTTCGTGGTCCCAACTGTAAATGTTAGTGCTTCACTAAATTAGCACAATTTAATGACATGCCACCTGATTGAGAAACTCTCGCGACATGCACTACTGACGAGTCACTCGCAATCCGCATGGAATGGATCTCCAAAATCAGGTGATCTACGGTCAGCTGAGTACACGTGAGCGGTTAGTGGGGGAGGGGGGAGGCCGAGGGGCTGGCTCCGAGTGTGTGTCGCCACGGCGCGGCGGCAGGCCGGCAGGCAGGCACACAGCTCCTAGCGCTAGCATGAAGCTACACAACCACACTGACAATACACATCGTCGGGTGATCGTAGTGAGCGTTGGCGTTTCGTTAACAATATTGTTAATTAAAAGATAAAACTTTAGTAGATTTGGCAGAATAAAAGTATCTACCAACACATCGTTTTTTTATTTATAATTTGTCAGGAGAGAAAAACATTTGTGAACAAAGGATCGGTTTTACGGACGGTTTTATGAGAAAAGGGTATCTTAACCTCGCGGGCCCCTAAACCTCGCGGGCCCCCCCGCACCGCGGGGTCTGCGGGGGCGGCTGTTACGCCACTGCTTCTATTGTTTAACCCTGTTGTCCCGGGGAGCTCCTAAGGAACCAGTTATGTATAAATTGTGAACAATTGGCTAGTCAAGTGAAGAGCCGCCATTGGGTACATTGATATCAAGACGTTGACATTCCAATTCTTTTATTACTAAGCTTCCTATTTTAGAATTTTGTTTCTAAGTCTTAGTGTATTATTTATAAACATTAGTTTACTCAGCAGATGTACGAGTATGTCTAGTAGATCAAGTAAAAGAAATATTTACTGTTTTAACAGTATTTGTACTTACGGAAACAATCCTGCATTTGTTCGGATTTATTGAAGTGATTATTCCATAAACTCCAACAATAACAATAAGAGCTGAAAGTATCAATATCACCCAAAGCCAAATTACAAATCCTGTTTCTTCAGTTACAATACTGATGTACTTCTTTGCTAAAAAGTGTGATAAAGCTAGAATCAGCAGGATCAACCCAAGGACCTGAAAGAATAAGGCATTTATTCAGTCATTCAGCACATTATAAGTTAGCAATAATAGGCATTGTCACAAGATCGCATCGAATAAACCAACATTTACAACACTTCTAACGGTCTAACAATAAGAAAATGTAATAAACACATATGACATGTAGGCCTACATAGAAAAAAACATTTACAATACCATGCATACACAACATTTAGTTAAATTACATAAGATCAGTCTCATGTGGGCAGGTATAAAAAACTTAACTAACATTATAAATACCCCCGCCGCAGCAAACCTGCAGACTAAGTGAATTTCCATTTGCCTGATTGGATTTACAAGAAAATGTCTCCTTAAAAATATCACATTTTATTCCTTATTTTAATATAATTAGTTTAACGAGCACTTAGGTTTGCTGCAACAGGGGGGGGGGGGGGTATTTTTGTTGTAAAATCTTAATAGTTTAGTAAGAAATGAATGTATTTTCCAAATTCGAACAAAATTTGTTCATAAACAAGCAAACTACAACAGTTGACTATTTTCCATAAGAATAACATTAGAATTTTAAATTTAAAATTTTTTGAATTTTCTCCGCAACCATTAGGCGCATAACAACGCTTCAATATACTAAATTATTTGTTTTTTTAAGCTCTACAGAATGGTTTGGAAAGAAATTTTGACATTTTGTGTTTTTAGGGTCAAAAATGGGAAAAACCTAATTTTACCCCATAAAACCCCCCATAAACCCCTGTTCCCATAGTTCGTTCATGCTGATTCGCAAACTCGTTCAAATAAATGTAGGTTTACACGTTTGTACCAAATTCCATCAAAATCGGATCATTTAACGGACACATATATATATATATATATATATGTATATATGAATTTGAACGAATGTGTTTTTGGCCTCTAGGGACCTCAAAACGAAAAAGTAAATCGGTCCCGGGTCCAGGTCTTACCATGAGTACTACGGTAATAGCTTATTCCCTATATGGGAAATTCGCTAATATTCCCTATATGGGAAATTCGCTAATATTCCCTATATGGTAAATTCGCTAAAAGAGTTGTTTAAAAGCCATTTAGGGAGCTATTTACTAAAAACAGTTACAGACATGTTTAGGCAGACATTTGGCAGCTTGTTGAACATATTTAATCCTAGGTAATTCATAGTTTTTGGGAGTCTACATCCAGCTTATTTTCATTACGAGTGTTGTGGTTATCTATATATATAAAATCCAATGTATGTTTGTATGTTTGTCCTTTATGGACTCCGAAACCGCTCGACAGATTGTAATAAAACTTTCAGGCATTATTTATTATTATTCAAGGATGGTTTGTGTGAAGTTTGGTGCAGATCCGTCAAAAGGGCTCCGCCCCAGTGGCTCTGGAGTTTCCCATGTTAACCTTATGAGTACTCATTAAAGAATCTTAACAGCTGGTTCAACTAAAAAATTTGATTCTGTGATGTTCAATAGCATTAACAAGTTAATAGGTTTACCAAAAGGGTGCAGCACTATCAATTTTTTTAATTTACGACAACAGCTAATTTGCAACCAAAAAGGTGAGTGAGCGTAGCGAACGAACTTCAACCTGGAGGCGAGTTAGCGTTGCGAACGAGCTAACTGAAGGCAAGTGAGCGCAGCGAACGAGCTCCAACCTAAAGGTGAGTAAGCGTGGCAAACGAATTTTGACCAGGGCGTGATTGAGCCATGCGAACGAGCTCATCTTGAAAATGAACAAGCATTGACATAAAACCATATTAGGACAGGAACCTGATGGCAAGTGAGCGCAGCGAACGAGCTCCAACCTAAAGGTGAGTAAGCGTGGCAAACGAATTTTGACCAGGGTGTGATTGAGCCATGCGAACGAGCTCATCTTGAAAATGAACAAGCATTGACATAAAACCATATTAGGACAGGACGACGTCTGTCGGGCCAGCTAGTGTGTGTATAAAACTTCTAGGGTGGTAATCACTTAAATTCATTTTGACATGGAGTAATACTTCTAATATACCAAGGTTGACAATGGTAAGGATTCCAGTTTGGATGAAAAGTGGTTTACAATGCTCCAGACTATAGGAATTAGTAAGTATTCTAAGAGCTTTCTTCTGTATGATTAATATATTATCCATGCGAACTCCATTTCCCCAAACAATCAGACCATATCTCAGAATGCTTTCAAAGAAAGCAAAATAAGCCATTCTCAAAAAATCTTCTGTTACATGATTCTTAATATTCACTAAAAGAAATATGACTCTAGATAAATTTTTACAAACATAAATCAATATTGGTTTTCATGGTTCTATATTTTCATTCAAAAATTATAATTATCACTTTCTCCCTCTGTACATAGTAAATGGAAAAGTATTTGTTTTCGTCAAAACTTTTTGGGTGGAATAATCCATTTTGGGCCCTCCTGAACCCAAAAAAGGTAGTTTTCGAAAGGATGTGTGTGTGTGTGTGTGTGTGGATGTGTACAGAGCTACAGTCCACACCTGTGGTCTGATTTTGATTAAAATTGGTATTTGGGTACTAATTCATGGTATCTCCAAGAGTGTTTTTTCATTTTTCAATATTTTGATTTTTAATGACGATTTTCCAATGAAAACCTACAAAATTAAAGAATAATCAAGTTTATACAAAAACGGCCTGAACGGTTTATATTCAAATGTAGTATGTTATGGTCCTATTAACTTTTATAAAATTGTGCAACCCTCAATGCTGTAAAAATTACCGTTCAAAAGGGTATTGCAACTTTCTCCATAAATTTTCATGGTTACTCCTAAAGCATTTCCATGACAAGGGCTGGGAGAAAGTATGTGTCATATTGCTGATACAGTTTATTTTCATAAATGTTTTGTGACAGTTAAATCCTCAGGTCTATGTAATAAACTGTTACCTAATTGTCATGTATAACGTTCACATGAATGTTTTCATACTATGGGATCAAATTTAAGACCAATGAGGGTAAATAAGTGTCACAGTTCATGCATGCATAGCCCTAAGGATTTGCACCTCAAAATATCGATACATGGTAATACTAGTACTAGAGCGCTCAGGATATTCCTTCAAGGAGAGGAGGGAAGACAAAGCTCAGATCTCAATACAAGTTGGTAATTAATTTACAGCCCTAACCCACAAAACACTATTATTTCACGAACATTGTGGAGAGTCCGTTGTCAGTACAGTATCAAAAGATGGCATAGTTAAAGTTTTGGTTGTTATAACAACATTTTCCGTCAAAAATTTACTTATTTGTTTTAATTGTTGTGAATACCAAGCAATATTTAGAAGTGAACTAGGTGTTTTAAAATTTACTTTAATTAGCATAATCTCACATATAGGGATTTACGCTATTACTGTAGGTCTCATGGTAATACTCAAGACTCAGGACTGATTTATTTTTTTTTTGTTTTATATCCCCAGAGGCCAAAAACACCACCTGTTCAAAATCATATATCTTATATACTAATGGTCCGGGAATAGTACAACAGTACTTACTTTTCTTTGATTCAAGCTTATTTTATTTTATTCGGATGATATGGATCCCTAGCAAGTCTATTAATTGAGATTGTTGAATTTTCCTAAATTACGTACCGGTACTGTATTATTAATATTTACTAATTAATTAGTAAATTTATTGTTAAGAGTTTTATATAGGTAGTTTTTGAAACAGACATGACAATGTTAAATAATTAGGCTAATAGAAATCCATATATTTTTAAATTATTGTACAAATTTTCAATTAAGCAAATTTCTACAATGAGAAATTTCCAAATTAAAAAGGAAATTTTAATAAAAAAATAAATAGGTAATGTTGAATTAGGCACATTGTATAAAGTAATTACTTGAGTAGTGAAAGACATTTCTTTTGTAAATTAATGTTTATCTTTCAATTTATATGCATGTTTTTTTCTCAAAAGTGATTGCTAGTGAAATAGTTGCTTTAACAGTTAGTACATGCCTATGTTTTAAAGCAAGAATGTTTGATGTAGCAAAAGGTTGTTGCATTATATTATTTTAATTTCAATGGATGGTTGATGAGATCAATTTGTACTGAAAAATAATAGATACTAATGATAAATGCAGTGCCGATTTGCGGCGGAACAACCATTCCAGTACTACCTCTCTTTCGGAAAGATAAAAATATGGTTTCAGGTCCAGCACCTCATTTTAGCGAATTTCCCATATAGGGAATAAGCTATTACCGTAGGTCTCATGGTAAGACCTGGACCCGGGACCGATTTAGTTTTTCGTTTTGAGGTCCCCAGAGGTCAAAAACACCATCCGTTCAAATTCATATATATATATATATATATATATATATTTATATATGTGTCCGTTAGCGCGATAACTCGAGCAAAAATGATCCGATTTTGATAAAATTTGGTATAAACATGTAAACCTACATTTATTCAAACGAGTTCGCGAACCAGCATGATCGGACTATGGGAACAGGGGTTTATGGGGGGTTTTAAGGGGTAAAAATGGGTTTTTCTAATTTTTCACCCTGAAAACATACAATTTTGCAATTTCTTTGTAAACCATTTTGTAGAGCTCAAAAAAAAACAAATAATTTAGTATATTGAAGCATTGTTGCATGCCTAACGGTTACGGAAAAATCGCAAAATAGTGTAAATTTAAAATTACCATGTTATTCTTATGGAGAATAAATACAGTGTTGTAGCTTGCTTGTCTATGGACATATTTTAATGAAATTTTGAAATTTTGTTTACTTCATACTAAGCTATTAATATTTCAATAAAAACCCCCTGTTTTCTTCCCTGTAGCAGCAAACCTAAGTACTCATTAATATTAATGATATTTAAATAGGAAATAAATCTGACAATTTTAAGGGAATAATTTAGTGGAATTCCAGATGTGTAGATGGAAATTTGCTTAGTCTGCAGGTTTGCTGCGGCGGGGGTAGTTTACAAATCAAGCACTGGATAAATCTATAAATAATTTAAACATGAATCAAGCAATTGTTTAGTCATTGAAAAAGAAGTAAAGACCTAAACAGGATTTGTCAAGTAAATGTGTTGTATATCCATATCAACTGAATAAAAATATGGTTTTACTGAAACAAAACAATCCGCATCAATCTTTTTTCTTACTGCATATTAAATAGGTACCGTTGTTATAAAAACTTACCAAAAGGGAAGCATTTGTGTAAAATAAAGTCCATAAGCAATTTTTGAAAGTCTTATGAAGATGTTTACATTTAATTGATCTTTGTCTTCTGAATATCTCTTCTGGATATGATTTGGAAAATTTCTGTTCATGAACTATAGAAGGAAGAAGTGGTATTTGTTTTATAAAGTCTTGTCTTTTGAGGGAAAATTGGTCCAGACTTCCATTAGAGTGTTTAACTGAACTGAACTCTTTCTTGTTATAAGAAGTATCTGATGTAAATTGTTCTACAGGGGGGTAGACATAACTATCAATGTTGTTGGTGTCACACTCCCTGTAATTTTCTTTGTTAACGATATGTCTTTGTACTCTTGGACTACATCTTAAGATGATGCGATCTTTTAAATTGTTAGTAGCTTCAACATCCTTATAGTTGCTAATTTGCTCGCATATATAAGACGATTCCTCAGCTATATCATACATTTTATTTTGAAAAATTATTGGCAGCCGGTTGTTCTTGTCTTTACTACATTGACAACTTCTTTCAGGATTCCTATTGTGGGCAGTCTTTTTTTCAAGTCTTGTTCTTTGGTCATTTGTATACATTTTGTTCTCTAGTTGATCACTGTTATGAATTTCCATGGGATTGTTCATATTGGTGTCTTTCGGAAGCCAAAAATCCATTTCTTCTTAAACATAGGTACTCCTGGTTTCTATTTTGATTTGTGCCCAAAGCTTTTTCTGAAGTTTAAGAGGTGAAAGTAAACTTTAAAGATGATTTTGATCAGAGGAATACATTATTGGCAAGTATTTTTTTATAGATTCTTGTGAAATTTTGATTTCTGAGATAAAAAATGTTTGTTTTAATATTCCTCTTAACTCATGTGTTGTTTAAAATGTATTTATTTCTCTGTAACTTTGTAATAAATTGTTGACACCAATATATTTTTTTTTATTTAGTTTAAGAAAACAAATTTAGATTTGAGTTTTGATAATGATTTGCACATTAACCAGCTTCACGTAGAAAACTACCTGAGTTTAAATAATAAGCCAACTGAATTTTAACCTAAGTACTATATGTTTACAAAATTATTTGACAACCAAGTGGAATCAAACCTTAATTGTTTTTACAAAATCATGTGATCATTGACATTTATTGGGGCTATGGTTGGGGTTGAACACAGAGAAATATAAAACTGGTATTAAATAAACGGTTTCAGCAATCTAATCTGACACATACTTCTCCCATTAGCTTATAAACAACCTTTAACATAGTATCATTGGCAACATACTTGATCGGCAGTTGTATTGATCAGCATGTTAGCAACGAGATTTGGGGTACAGTGTTAATAAAAAAGTCAGGAGACCCCCTATTACCTTTTAGCGAATTTTCCTATAGGGAAGTAGCTATTATTGTAGGTGGCACGGTAAGACCTAGACCCGGGACCGATTTACTTTTTCATTTTGATGTCCCCAGAGGCCAAAAACACCATTCGTTCAAATTTTTATATATGTATATATATACAGGGTTTTTTAACGGCCCATACTAGAAAAACTAAACTCGGCACACCTTTATGGCATGTTATGAAGTACTTTTTAAGCCTAATAGCCACTTGCTTACCAAACCCAAAATGGGGGTTTTTTGGGGAAACTCAAAAGTTTTTAATGATAAGCCCCATCAAGTGACCCCTCATTTTGAAGGTCCTGGTAAAAGAAAACTAACAACGCAAACTAGAGGTTTCTATCTCAATCCAGTAAAAAAAGGAAGGTGATTGAAATCTTTAAAATCGGAAATAACTTGCAATTTTATATTGAATTGGCTGCCATATTTTACTGTGTTAAGATAGAGACCTATAGTTTGTGTTGTTAGTTTTCTTTTATTATGACCTTCAAAATGAGGGGTCACTCGATGGGGCTTATCATTAAAAAAAATTGAGTTTCCCCCAAAATCCCCCATTTTGGGTTTGGGAACTTATGAGAATTTCAATCGGCTGCCATTTTGTACTGAACTGAGATAGAGACCTCTAGTTTGCGTTGATGGTTTTCTTTTACCAGGACCTTCAAAATGAAGGGTCACTCAGTGGGTCTTTGTGTTTGAAATTTTTTAGTTTCCCCCAAAATCCCCCATCTTGGGGATGAAAACCAAGTGGCGGTTATGCCCAAAAAGTACTTCATAACATGCCATAATGGTGTGCCGAGTTTAGTTTTTCTAGTATGGGCCGTTAAAAAAATAACAGGGGGTCTCCACACTTTTTACTAACCCTGTATATAGACATATATATATATATTCATAAAGTCAGCACCATTGTTGATACCTTAAAATGTGCTGCAATTGTTGATACCACTTTCCATCGTATATATTTTTTTATTTTGAATCCTACGTTACAGTGGATGGTATATTATTAAGTTTTATAAAAATTCAGACTTATATATTGTTATATATTTAGTTTATAGTCATGTATAACCAATAGTAATCAAAAGTTGATCTTCTTAAAAAATATCACCTCAAGTTGATACCTCGACCAATATAGAGCCGCCATCTTGCATTCATAAAAACGGCACCAAAGTTGATACGTTAAAACACCTGACTATGTTGATACCTCTTTCCGTCGTATATATTGGTTTATTTTAAAGCCTATCTTATGGAAATAGTTTTACTTCTTTGTCTTATAACATCTTAGACTGATACTTCCTTAAATGTTTAGTTTATAGTCTTTAATAACCAACCAATAGTAATCAAAAGTTGATCTTCTTAAAAAATATCACCTAAAGTTGATACCTCGAACAATATAGAGCCGCCATTTTGCATTCATATAAACGGCACCAAAGTTGATACGTTAAAACACCTGACTATGTTGATACCTCTTTCCGTCGTATATATTGGTTTATTTTAAAGCATGTGTTATGGAAATTTGTTTACTTCTGTGTCTTATAACATTTTAGACAGTTACTTTCTTATATATTTAGTTTATAGTCTTGTATAACCAATAGTAATGAAAAGTTGATATTCTTAAAAATTATCACCTCAAGTTGATACCTCGACTTGTATAGAGCCATCATTCTGCATTCATAAAAACAGCACCAAAGTTGATACCTTAAAACAACTGACTATTGTTGATACCTCTTGATACGACAGCGCTCGGCCGAATCTAGTGGCGTCCACGGGAACTATCGGCCCAGCCAAAAATATTCCGCCGCGCCGATCGTGGGATCGCGATTTGACTACCGGAAGTCCACTTCCTGTCTTCTTTTTATCTTCTGCAAACTACACTGAACGTTATTTTTTAATTATTTCTGAAGCTAAAATATGTCTAGCTGTCTCGCAAAGCCTTCGTGGATTTATGCTTAAATTTTCTGTTAGTCAACGTACATATTCAGTTTTTTTCTCTGCAATCCAGGTTTGTGCAGATAAATAATTCAAGCGCGTAAACGGGGATTTAGGGAACAACGTAACCACGGGCCTTCGGTCCCTGAGGTCCGCGGTTTAAATCCTTCTAATCACAGATATAATTACTTTTAGCTTGATGATGCCTAAACAGTTCCGTGGTGAATACAATGTCCTAATATGTAAATGTAGGACATAAAATGAAAAATAATAATATGTTATTATTTATCTAATATTACCAATTCGTAATAAAATCAAACTGTCCTTGATAGTGGTGTAAAATTTTTAATTTTTTGAACTAATAATAATGGATTTAACAAATTGGAGCGAGCTGGTTTGGTTGTAGAACTCAAGGCTTCGATCTCGAGCATTTGGGTTCAAATCCCAGTAATCACCAATTGAGTTTATCTAGGTGATAAAACAATACATAATGTTACTTATCTAATTTTATAAATTCATGATGAACTAGGGTATATTAATTGTCACTAAAAGTGTATTCAATATTTGTTATTGTATTATAACTAATATTAATGGATTTAACAAATGGGAGCGTGCTAGTATAGTCCTAGGAGTAGATTGTGGGGCGGTATTGATGTTATGGGTTTGATTCCCCCCAATTACTAACCAACCCTATCCAATTAGTAAAAATTATTAAGACTCAACAAGCTAAAATTACCAATTCGTGATTAATAGTGCCCAAATAATGGTACCGTAAAATGGTTGATTTTATTCGAACTAAAATTAATGTATTTAACAAGTGGTAGTGGGAGCAGCCTGGTCTAGTTGCAGATCGTAAGGTTTCGGTCACGAGGTTTTGGGTTCAAATTCCGCCAATCACCACTGTTCTTTATCTTGGTGATATAAATGCTTTAGGTTATTCATCTAATACTACCAATTCGTGAAAAATGATAATACTGCAACTGTCACTAATAGTGCTGTAAATAATTGTTTTTTTTTTATTATAACTAATTTGTATTGCTTTAAAAAATATAAGCGAGTTGTTCTAGAGCTAGAAGTACAGCGTGAAGCGTCTCCCAAAGTGTTGGGTTCAAATCCAGCTAATCTCTAGTACACTTTATTCAATTCACAAAAATATTAAAGTTTTCAAACAAATACATTATTATTAATTCGTGATAAAGTATAACAGTGTTCTTATCATAATGGCATAAGTTACGGCATTTTATAATAACTAGGCTCAAATCCCTCCTAACACTAATGTTCTTTATAGTGATAATTCCCCTACTCTTTAGGCCTAGGGTGAATAGTAATGTGTTAACAGTTCTGAGTAATAGAGCCTGGCATTCTAGGGTATGATAAACAAATCGTACACAATAAAAAACCATTTCGTGCATTTAATAATTGTATAATAATTATAGTTAATTAATACTTAATACTTTATTCCGATATGGCGACCACACCAATGTAGGTATGTTAAGCCAAGTATGAATTGAAGCATTAAAAAACGAACATAAATATGTCATTCAGAAGTGAATAATACAGTTAGTTTAATGCGCTGGAAGGGAAATAACATGGTCCAATCATGCCAGACCTACCTAACAATGAGTCTGATACCTACCCACTTTTAACGTTGCGTCTGCATTTGGAACACACTTTTTGTTATAGAAAGTAGGTATTATTAATTCAAAGTGGTTTGATATTTGTCTACAATGGACAAAATTTACACTGTTGACTGATTTTCCATCGAGACTAATGCCAGGGATTTTATTTTACATCGATCACTTCAGACCTGCTTCAGACTAGCCCTAGAGGCTGCGGCATTATCACTTGAATAAAATCCATAGGAGATTGGCGGAAATTGAACTCTGGACTTCCAGTGCCGAAGTCCCACGCTCTCCTACACGACCAGCTTGCTCCAGCAGTTCACGGATTAACCATCAACAGACTGATAATTAATCATTATTTGCTGACTAATTATCACAAATTATTCTACTGTTACGATTCTTTAAATTAACTTACCGTTGTGATTGGCAATTTTCCAATGATTCGGAACTCACCTGCACTTGTAGATTGCTAACAAATAGGTAACGTTTTAAAATTATTAAAGCTTTGCCAATGTTATTTTACTATCATCAGCTTTGGCTTGATATTTTGGAACAAACTTTCTTCTTATATATATGTGTAAATTAATGAGTGTTATAGAATGTACAATTTCACAGAAAAAAATTATTGCAATCCCAATTTCATAAAAAGGCATAATTATCAGCGATGGTAAAAATCAGCGATCAGTCGTTAAACGTTGGTTGTAGATTGGTTGTCACATTGTATTGTTGATTGAAGATAACCTTCAATAAGTGTTCTGAATAAGTGTTCAGTTGTTCTGAACCCACCTTTGGTTCTTGGTTGTAGATTAAACTGTAAACAATTTTAAATAGTATTTTGCCAGGCAATGTAAACAACAACAGCCATACCATATTGTATAGTCAATGGTAATATTGTTTTGTTAGATCAAGTTAACATTGTATGTGTTTATAAGCTGGTGATGGCCCAGTGGTTCGGAACCCTCATTTGACTGTAGCTCAATTAAAACAAAATAATAAACATATTATTCTGGCAGGCAATAATAACTACTTAAGTCATATCGTATTGATAAATTAAGGTAACATTCAATTTTTTTAGGTTAATGATGGCTTAG